ACTTTAGGAAAAAATTTATTTGGGTTTTTAAAGGTTCAATATGTAAAATTTTTAGAACTTAATGAGTGTGAATTAAGCGACCAAACATAGGGTGTTTTCATTTGCCAGATGGTTAAGTACTGTATAAAGAGCATGGAGGAATGAGATAAACATTTTTGCTGTAGAGTAGGATATGATTAGGAGATAATTAGGAGATAATTTGATAATTATTATAATAACTCTAGACGTACCAGCATAATAGTAGTTACAGAACAACCTCTGCCGAGCAATACCCTTTGAGAGACAAACATGTTAGATTTTGCATAAAAGGTGTAGCTATATAAAGGTTAAATTTATTGAGAAGTCTCACTCTCTAAGGAGATGTGAAACAGTTGTTATAAAGAGGTTAAAGCTGTATAGAGGGTCACTCTAATGTAAACAAGTTATTGCTGTAAAGAGGGTCACTTTGTAGGGGTTGCACTGTATATCATATCAGTAGAATCATGTGAACAAAGACAGCAAAAAATTTCTGTGCAATATGCCATTTTATTTTGTGTGCCTCAAATATGTTCATCTTACTCTATTATTCATTTGTATGGTTTACTGTTTTCATATTGGATCATTCATTTTTAGGAGTGAATATATGAATTATATCTCATTTATAAACTTAAGTTTCATTTTATCTTGTGCATCTAATATAGTCATTTCCTGTGTTACTCTTTTCATTTATATGGTTATATGTTGTCATGAAAAGTGCATAAATTGGATTATTCATCATTTGGAGTGAAAATATGGATGATATTATCTCATCCAGACTTTGTGTCGATGAAATTTCAAATATTTCATAGAAGCATAGTTCAAGTGAAATATCAAATATTTATTACATAGTGTAAGTGAAATACCTAAAAATACTTCGAAGAAAGATACATTTGTATATTCAATATCTGTAAGAAATGAAAGAAAATCATATTTTATGCTTGTGGATGTAGCTCAGTAAAAGTTTTCACTATGTGTGTGATATATATTATACCTCACTGATAAAATCTAGTATTTCATTGATTAGAATATTATGAATAGTTGTATTCTAGAGATTGTTTAACAATATATCATCACTATGGTAACGGTTTTGACTTGTTTGTAAAATACAAAAAGAACTTCCAATTAAAATTCATGATTAAACTTTATAGGAAAGGCATAATAGAATTATTCTTTTTTGGGTTTTTTTGGAGTGCTTGTCAATTTTTAGTTTTTGATACAAGTGGCCTACATTTTTGTGCCTTCTGTGTAGTGAATTGTTTTTGTTGGAGCTGTAGAACTTCTCGTTTAAAATGTGATAAAATTGTGTTTTAAAATTGAATTTAAAGTAAAAAACCTTAAGGACAATTTACGCTAAAATATTGATTTTTATTTTACTACAAATGTTTAATTATGTTTAACCTTTTACCTGCTGATTTGTAAAATGGATTTTACTTGCTTAAAATAGTCGTTATTCAGTACTCAGCAAAATAAGGGTTTTTTCCAAGGTTATTCCTTGTTACTAACAAACTTTTATCATTTATAGGTTAATGTTATAGTTTCACAGTACACTTCAGGTCACAATAGATTAGTCAAAAGTGCACCGGTCACTATAGATTTGTCAATATGTTGTGCTTATTTTTGCAGCTGTAACTGCAAACGTTTGTATTCCCAGATTAGCTGGGAAAATCCAAAATATTATTAATTCCAGACTAAGTCTATTTGGAACAAACATGCAGGCTGGCCTGGCTCTATACCGGTGGCAAAGGCTTAGTGCTTTCGGTTCCAGCACTTAAATGGTTAAAACATTATCATTTTGTGTTATAATTCTATGATAAGCCATCTAGTATTTCACGCCTTCATTATTTAATTCATTATATAATTCATGTAGCAGTATTCATTTATATTATAGTCCTATAGCAATTTAGTGAGTTATTTATTTATTAAGGTCGTTTACATATCACTTACTGTAATCATGTAGAGTACTCTTTATTAAAACAAACCCCAGTTTTTATAAACATATTGGATTACTGTTTCCACTTACAGCTTGGTCCAATATACAGTTGAGGCTCTATTTTCAATAAATATATTTTTGTTACTCAAAACCACATTTTACTTTAATCAGAACTACAGCTTTTGGACTATTTTTTTTGCTGATGTATATTTTATTTTCGAAGTAAAAATGTTTACTTACCCATTTAACCCCATACCTGCTAAATTTTTGTGTTATGAATTTGCCCAGCTTTGAATTGGTGACAGTCCATTCAAAGTTTAAAGTGTATTGGTCTATAATAGGTGCATTTTCTATATACAAGTATTTCAAATATTGATGAAAAACTATAGTAATGTATCATTTAGATATTTTCATAAAAATTGCTTGGAAAAAAAAGTTGATAAAGTTTTAAGTATGACTGTTAATACAATGAATAACAATATTTTTCTGATACAAAAAACTAACTATTTAAGTATTAATTTTACATTATAGACCAATTCACTTTCAGGGATTTCAATATCAAAATACAAAAATTGAGGTGTCAACAGTATAGAGCCTGTTGGTAGACTGCAAAGAAGTGCAAGGCTGGTCTTGCTCTATACTGGTGGCAAAGGCTAGTCACTTCCCTGTTGCAAGAGGTTAAAAGCTTAATGCATACCACATGCTCTTCTTCCAGAAATTACACACATGCCATATATTGTCCATTACCATAGAAATGTGTACAATGTATTTGCAGATACTTGATTTTGTATTAAAACCATTGTTTTGTTTTTTTTAAACCATTTTTTCATTGTTTTCTGTTGTTTTTTTTCTACATTCCTCTCATCTGATAGTGCTCAAATCAGTGTTAGTTATTTAGATGTCTTCCTTTATTTGTCTTTTTTTGTTACTTTGTGTTTTAATTGTTTTCCATCAAAATAGTAATTCAAGGAGATTTATTGGTCACTTCCACATATAAATTACATCTTGTAATCAACTCTTTAACAGGAAAAAAAATCCTGCCATCTCATTATTCGTCAGGGAAAGGGTTTGTAATTCTATACTTCAAAGAAACATGTACTGTATTAGTGGATATTTCTGCGTGTCGAAAAGCGAATTTAAAATTCCAGACATGTGAAATTCGCAAAAAATATTTCCCTGCCGCTAACTTAACCACTTATTATACTATCTTTAAGAAGACTTTCTCTATCTGTTCAGCCTGGGTTTATTGTCTGTGTGGATTTAATGACATTTTAAGTACATTGTAAAACCAACCCAGTGAGACATCATTTGACACGATCCACTGAACTTACAAGATTGATTATGGATCATTGGTCACTCAAGAAGTCACATGACTTAGTGAAGCTCAATAGGGAGAGCATCTGATTGGTTATCTAGGGGTTGATGGTTTGATCTCCGGCATTTATTCTAATAGTCATTTTTCTTTCATCACTTAATTCATAAATCATGTTGGATTAGTATTGCCACTTGTGGAGTAATTGGTAATTACTGGCTAACTGGTAATTATCCAGAAAGCCAGTTAGGTGAATTAACCACTGAGATATGACCAAAAATGTGTTAAAAGTGGCAAAAAAAAGTAGAGAAACAAACTTAATTTTCTACATCGAAAACATAAAACAATGTTTTAGCTGTGCATCTCATAACACTCAGACATAGTATATTTATACTATATTTGTACTAAGTATATTTATACGGTATTTATAATACATTACCTAGGTTATATACATGTATTATGTTGCATATTTATGTAAATTGTAAAGTTTTCTCTTGTTTGTTCTGCAAATAGTTTATAAACTATGATTTTATATTATTTTATTGCATAAAAGACATCGTTTTGAACCTTTTATATATTGAAAAAGAAATAAAATGTTTTACAATATGTTGTTATTGTCTCATTATTAATGCTCACCAAGTGTGAGAGATCCTATCACAAATGTTTCACCATCAGGAACTTGAGTGTAATAATCAGGCACAATTTAGGTCACTTTATGCAAGGTCTAGGTCATTTTAAGTTAATGATATGTAAGTATACCTTCTTCATACATTGAAGGATTTTAGTGTACAAATGTTCTTCATGGTGACTTTATGTGACAGAAAGTCATACACACTCATATTGCGGCGCATAAATCCAAACCCGTACAGGCTTTAAATAGTGCATGTCCGACCTTTGAATATCTTTTCATCATATCAAAGGGGGTGGTCTTTAAAAACATAATGTTAATTTAATATAATCTTCTAGTTTAAAATTGGGTCAAATTTACGGTATATTGAAACCGTCAGAATTGGCCAAATTTGAAGTAACAAATCCTGCTAAATATATATTATATTGTTGGAGATCGTACACCCGGATAATACAAAATGATATTTAGATATAGGAGAAACATTTTTTTAAAGCCGTTACAGGATAGGAAACATGAGCCGCAATCTGCAGTCCCGTTCCAGAGTTCCTGGGTCACATGCAGAAATCCTGGCTCTAGATAAATACTAAATATCACTCTTAAAATTTACATGCATTGATGTCTTTTATCATGATAACTTGTTACAAATGCTCACTTTTGTTTGTTAAAGTCAAGGTTACACACAAAGGTCAAAGGTCAGATGTAAATGTGTGTACAGACTATTTAATCATCCTGTATTGAGAGATTCTAACACAGATGTTCACCATCATAAAACTGAGCATCGCTCAGTCCTCACTTTAGTGCAGTAATGGTTTAACTCCTATTAAACTTAATAGGAGTTAACCTGTTACTGCACTAAGGTCACATGTAAGTTCAAGGACACTAGAAATGATAAAATATCAAAATCTTTTTTTCAAGGGCATATTTACATGAACTCAGTAGGTCAAAAGTCAAGGTTTTACGGAAAAGTTGTCCATAGCATAGCTTTGCCATGTGAAAAATTTAGAACCTTGTCGCTTTAGCAACAGGCATATTTTGTAATAATAGCAACCTTGATAAAGGATGATGAAAATCAATTTTCTTTCTCCACTAGAATTAAAACTCATAAACAGTCATAATTCATAACATTTATTTTAATGCATTTAACATTAAAACATTCTCATATTAAACATTTTGTTTTTGACGCCACATTCACCTGTCAATTTAACTTATTTCTTCTACCGGTATTTTAAATGTTTTTGAATATTATCAACAATTAGGTATTTTAAATATCACAGTTTGGCATGTTTTCTGTATTCTCTGGCAGCAACTGTCCGTCTATGAACCTCATCAGGGCCGTCTGCAAGTCGTAGTGTCCTGGCCGCAGCAAAAAAGTAAGGCAGCGGACAATCATAGTTTAATCCTGCACCTCCATGACTCTGTAAAATACGATACTTATGTGTTCATCGGAGGTTAATTTTTTCCCGATAATTTATAATGTATTGTCATTGATATTGCATTATTACAGGTGTTAATATTTTTGCCTCATAAGAAATGAAGAAAGAAATTGAATCAATTCATGAAAATAATGTTTTAAATGTTCTATTTATAATATTAAAAGTATTACAATATGTCTGTAAATGTATAGTAATTTCAATTTTATTATTAATATTTATACATGTACAATTAATACTTAAATTTTGTTATATAACTTGATATATCAAGTTTCCATAGTTTAGGTTTTGTTCACATAATTATCCATGGTAAAGAAAATTTAGTTTACAAACCTGGTTCTTGAAATGTACATCATAAGTAAGGTAATAAAATTCATGAGCATACAACTTTTTTTCTGCTAAATTCTTACAAGGCGTATTTTTCAAAAAAAAAAATAGTTTTCATTGTATGGATTGAAATACTTATATATTTTAATCTTCTCCTGTACCTAGGACTTTTATATTGAAATAATATTTTTACCAACTCTCAAAAATAACATTTAAAGTAAACTGAAAAAAAAAATTACATCAAAAAAATAAAAAAACATCAATGAAATAATCAGAATATAACTTTAAGCCCCCTCACAGTTGAAATAAGCCTCTCCCACTTCTAGCCCTTATTAGACATAGGCCACTCCCACTTTTTGACAAAATGTTCTTTTTTGTTGTTGCTCAAATTAAATTTTAAATTGAAACCTTGAATGCACAAACAATTATATGCACAAACTCTGCATACAAATATTTATATTGTTTGAATTATGCCTCTTAATTTTACCAATACTAGTATTTCAAATATTCTTGCATTTTCATTATGGCAAACAAGACAAGATTTTAGTAAATATACATGTATATATGCATTCCTTCATCCATACAAATGCTTCCTAACTTTAACATTCATCCATGCCCCGCATGCTTATTTGTTAAAAGCTAAAATTTAACCATATCAGATCATTCTGCAAGCATTCAATAAACCATGATGACAAGTGATCTTATCAATATCAGCCAGAAGCTTCACTATTGTAAATTCTCTATTTAGATGATACATTTCAAATGCTGCTTTTCTCCCTCTGAAAAGGTCATAAAAATGCATCATTTAATATCTGCACAGTTTATATTTTGGGTGTGTCTTACAAGCGTAAGCGACTTATAGCCAAGAATATAAATTGCAATTCTACGATCTGTCTGATAAAACTTGTGTCTGTGATACATGTGCGTCTGTCTGTTCACTGAACAGGATCCATTAAAAATTCAATTAATATAAAAACAAATACTTCATATTATACATTTATATTTTTATTTTGAAAACTTTTTACAATTTTGATTTACAAAATATAATTTATAAAGAAACATTTAATTAATGAGCATAAGATACTAAGTTAACATATACATATAATATAAGTCAAATACATAATTATTTCTAATAATATTGAATATAAAACTTACGATTTCAAATATTGAATAATTATGCACATTATTTTTCCAGCAATCGCTTGAAATAATTTATAATTTTCTGTTGTCCAAAGAAACTATCAAGCAGCAAGTTAAAATTAAGTAATAATAATAATGTCAGAGACTTTTATTATAGACATAAAATATATGTAATATTAAGCTCCATAATAAGGTGCTATAACTATAAACTGCCATGTTCACAGTTTTGAATATTTCTTATATTCCCTCCTAGCAACCGTCCGTCTATGAACTTGATCTGGGCCGTCAGCTATTCTGATAACTCTTGCTTTTGCATAAAAATGAGCAAGGGGTGTGTCTTCACTCATACCCATCCCTCCAAAAGCCTACAAAAAATACAAATAATTGTTGTTGTTTTTTTCTTTAAATAAATTAAATAAATTTAACTTCCATTCCAGTTTTAAAGATTGTGATTGGTAACTAAATGGAACAGAAATAAAAGATTTTTAAGTACAAATCACCATGTTTTAAGCTTAAATACTAACATTTATAAATTCAGTTATAGTTATTGTTAAGGAACTTTGACAAATCTACAGTAATTCAAAATCTGAATTTAACATGAGCATCACATGCAATGATAAGCAAGAATTTCAAATTTCATGCTGATAACTTTTTTAAAATGATTGAATAATGGGCTAAATTACAGTTTTTGCATATTAACGATGCAGCAGTGATCATAATAGGTTGACTTTTTCTTTGAAACTGACAAGCTACACTTAATGAAAGACTTTTATAAAAGTACTATATAATTAATTCTCACCTAAATCTTTTTTTTTGTCTAATATCTCTTCAAATGTAATACTTTGTTAGTCTTCACAGTAACAAAAAAATGCCGCGATCCAGCAACAAAATTATATATTTTTTTAACATATAAGAACAAAATTTTAAGAAAATAACACTTTTGTTAACAATTCTGACAGGGACTTAGGATTCATTCATGTGAGGAAGCTATCCAGCTACCTTATGGACGTTGGGTCAGTGGTTGTACTTCGATGCCTGTTCATGCCTGAAATAATGCATGGAAGGGCAACTGAGGTCTTCCTCCACTGAAGTAAAGTCACCATAATCACCTATATTGTGTTGGTGCCATGTAAAACCCAACCAAAATAAAAAAAAAAAACACTAACATATAAAAACAAATGAAGCATTTTCTCTATTTCGCTTTCTTCCTTTAAGTCTTGCTAGAAAAAAGCTCACAAGATATCTAATACAAGTATACCATGTTTTCTAGCTTCAAAATAACACCCCCACCCCTGACTTATAAATGCATCATCTTATAGGTAAATATATACATATGTAAGAAAGTACTTTTAACATTCAAAGCCTGTGATATCTTTATTTATGTAGTCTTCATCTGGATATATTAGTTTTCAAATTTCATTATTAACCAGTATGATCCACTGTTGTTACAATTGTTATTGCAATAGATATTGATCCTTATATCTATCTAGCCCATTAACAATTTTTCTTTTACAAAAGGTAATTGATATTCTTGACAAAACAATTCAATTAATAAATTTTTAGAAATAAAAACTAAATGAATAGCAAACAGTGTAGACTCTGACCAGACAGCATGCATGTGCCAGCTGATCTTGGTCTGCACTAGTCGCATGTGTAGAATCTGTTGTTGCCGCCTGCAAGCTAAAGGTTAAGAATAGAAAAAGCAAAACTGTTTCAAATTTAAGGTTGTTTTATCAAACCTTTTCTATTGTAACATTGTTTTAACACAAATTACCATGTCTAGGCAAAGATTGTTTCTTTAAATTTCTACTTATAATAAGTGCCAGGCTGACTGAGTACAAGTATATTCTATGAAAGGCACCTAAAAAGTGCAGTGATATATAAGGGGGGGGGGGGTAAACTGTGTAAATACAAAACTTAATCCTTCTTTTGAAAAGGGGATAGCATTTTAAACTTTTCGGGTTGATTCGTTCATCGGGGGAGATTCTAAATTTAGTTTTTTATCCTTTTTGTGGAAGTGGTTTAGAAATTTAGGAAATATTCAACCTGCACAAATGAAAATGCCACGAGTGGGCACCACAGAAAAGGTTACTCGTCAATGTAAAACCAAACAAAACAGAAGGGCATGTGGTTAAAAATTGGTGATCTTTTCACATCTTTCATTTGTATCTATAAATATTTATTACAATGACGGCATACAAATGTTTACATGTAATTGTATTCAAAATACAAAAATAATGCTTTATCTAAATGTATTGTAAATTTTTTATTAATGTATTATGTCAAAGGGTGAGAAAAATTGTGCAGCCTGAATGGGACACAACCACAGGTCCTTAGCAATACCATTCCATGGCTCTACCAGCTGAGCTATCTAGCCACTTACACGTCTTCTCCCCTAATAGAGAACACAGTTCTATACTGAGATAATTACAATAATTCTGTATCCCGGTACAACCGGTTTTCGGTAGCTTAACAGTATATTGATGTGTAAATTATTATTATTGCTGAAGAAAATAAAATATTTTTCACAAATATTATTAAAGTATCTTCTGTTTTGTATAAAACTGTATATTTAATTACAAAATCACAAGAAAAAGTTTAAAAATCAATATTTATTTTATTAATATTATGCATCAAATAGCACTATCAGCTGATCACAGAATATAAAGAATGCACTTCATTCAAAATGTATAAATTTATATGCAAACAAAATTTAATTAATTGAACACCTCTATTATAAAACAGGAGAAAGAATTCCTGTAACAACTTGGTTTTCTCATTTGTTTCATATTTTATAGTACATCTGACAATTAGTATCTTAAAAATAATAAACGTAAAAACAGAGCTATACTTAAATGCAGAGGAAATTATGGCGTCAAACACTTAAAAAACTGTATCAGAGATTTATTATCCTGCAAGTTTATATTTTTAAAGATTAAGAAGCTGTAAGCTATCCTCAGCAATGGATGAAAATGTAGACACATTTGGTTACATGTATTTAAAACAAGATGGTTGGAATTGATCAACTCCAAGAGCTTATCAATCTCTTGCAAGGGATTGTGGGTCTGGATAAGAAAATTTTTCTATTTTTAGAGCTTCTTATCCCTCTGTAATATAAGTCTCTGCGTTTGTTGAGGTAGGTTCATAAATCTGACAACAGTTATGTTTATGAAACTTTCAAAGTCTAGCAATTGTTTGCTGATTCTTAATCACAAAGAACTAACTCCATACAATATTTCACACTAAAAGTAAAGTTCAAAGTATAAAGTATAATATAATTCATCACTCCATGTAATTCATTACTCAATTACAGAGAGGAAATAATGTCTTTTCAAATCATCAAGGAAGGTAAACGAGATGGTCTCTGTAACTCAAAAGATTGTTTATATTTAAAATAGTTCCAAGGAGCCAATCTCTATATCAAAGAAGCTTGTTTGTATTCTTGAGTTACACAAGATGGTCTCTGTAACTTAGAAGATTGTTTATATTCAAAGGAGTTTTAACGAGCTGATCCCTATAACAAAGAAGCTTGTTTGTAGTTTTGAGTTACACATGATGATCTCTGTAACTTTGAAGCTTGTTTATATTCAAAGGAGGTCAAACGTGCTGATCTCTATAACTTAGAAGCTTGTTTGTACTCTCTTCTTGCTACTGTACGTAAATGAACCTCATCTGGACCGTCTGCTAGGCGTAATACCCTTGCCCATGCGTAAAAACTTGCTAGAGGTAAATCATCATGCAGCCCCGCTCCACCATGCGCCTGTCAGGGGTAAATAAATTCATGGGTAAATAAAGGGTAAGTGTTACACAATATTGTGAAATATAACATGTTTCTGCATTATATTAGGAATATTACACTTAACAAAAAGTTAATGAATGTCTTCAAAGAGTAAAATGAAACTAGAATTTATTGACAAAATACTGGTTTTTCAGAACAGGTAAAAATTTGCTGTAGAGGTGGACATTCACACAGGTTTGTATGTATCAGTAAGTCAATGTAGCACCCTCTTAAGTCATTACCACATGCATTATGATTACATTTGCACGAAACCATGCCTCATCCATGATATAGCCAAACCTGTGCATCTAAACCACCTCTATTCTTGTTTGTTTGTTTGATTCAGAGCCAAAAATTAGGAAAAATCCAAACCTAATAAAAAAAAACTCAACATCATCACATTAGTGCAATAACTGGTTAACTCCTATTTAATTTAGAAGAACTTAACCCATTATTGCACTAAGTTGACAAATTATGTACAGACTGAATGGCAAACAGTACAAACCATGATCAGACGGCACAGAATGATGTGCCTGCTAATCTTGGTTTGCACTGGTCACATGGGTAAACGCAGTAGCCTACAACAGGCTAATTGTTAACTTCTAATCATGAAGCAAATTGTGTCAAGGAAACTACATACATTGCACCCATAGATTAAACCTTGAAACCCAATTTTCATATACAATATGTACCTAATGTACTCCCTACCTCGTAAATTGGGCAAACACAGCTAAGAAATATCACCCCCTCAAAGATTTTTATTTTTTTCCATTTCTCATTTAAATTAGCAAAATTACCTGTCTGAAAAACCAAATAGTCAACAATGACCTTACATTTCAAGTTATTTCAAAATATTTCACGATCTTAATGACAAAATAACATCATAAATTATTTTATTTATTGTTTTAACAGGTATTTTTTTTATAAAGTTCCAAATTTTATTTCACAATATTGTGTATGGATACCAATGAAAATTCCAAATACTGTAAAATCATATTTCAACATACCATTGCATGGCTATGATACAACACCCTCAATTAGCTTTAGTTTTATACAAATACATATCTTCTTGTTCAAATCGATATGTTGACCAATATTTTATTGATGTATAAAATATCACTATGATGTGAAAAAAGTTGCATTTTTTAATTAAACAAATATACTAAGATGTGAAAAAAAGTTGCATTTTTTTATTAAACAAATATGATGTTGTATCAAAGAAGGGCAAGGTAAAATCTAAGACACCTGACTATAATTTAAATACCAGTCAAATAGGTGGATTCAACCTATAAAACAGCTGAATTGATTTACAGCTGAATTTATTTAAATATCAACCAATTTTCAAGAATTAAATCATGCCCAATTTACACAAAATTCAACCCATAACATACCTCTATGATTTCACAGTATTACAGAATTTTTCATATATCATTATGGGAAAAGACCAGCTTCAAATAATGCTTATTTGCAAATTTGCTAATTTACAAAATATGCCTGGAATGTTGCCATAAGTCATGAGGTTAAACTCTTCTTTCCTTAACAATTTATATATATACAATGATTACTCACTTAGAAAATAGTTTTCTTTACTGTCAATAAATCCAAATATTGTATTTAACAATATTTGCTGCTTATTTTAGATTGTCTTTATTTTTTAAATTCAACTATACTAATACATATCAAAGTTCAAGGGAAGTAACCTGTACTGTCATAAATCAAATTTTCAAGGGAGGTAATATCATTCTAACCTATGACCCTGTATCTTTCTGGCAATATTACCAAGAATACAATTCCCCATCAGCTTCCTTTTTCATGCAAACTCTCAGAGAACAGCAACTTTCACTTTGTCTTCTAAGCATAATTAATATATGAGAATGAAGCTTTAAATTTCATACCCTGTCTTAAAAGTGTTCCATCTTAGAGGTGAGTTAATACAGTATGTACCTTATATATTTATAGACTACAAAGGTTATTTTAGTATATCAATATAGCTTTACTCGAAAAACCTACAACAATGGTAATTTTAAACAAAGTGAAAAAGAAATGTTTCTGATGTTTGTTGTTGATATTTTTGTTTCTGTGTCTTTTCTTTTTTAGGGTTTTTTAATCCTGGAAAATAGCATATCTCCAACTGGATTTTATTTTTTCCCCATAAAAATCAAAATATTGCTGATTTTAAGATGCAGTTGTTCAAATGAAAAAAAATCATGGCAAACAAGCATTATTCTGTAAGCTAGTCTTTCTTGTGCATATATATTCATTTTTCCAAATATCTCGTGCACCAAAGAGAAAGACGTACCTGTATAGCTCTGTCAATAACTCGTAGAGCCATATTTGGTGCAGCAACTTTGATCATTGCAATATCATTGGCTGCAACCTAAAATTTAACAAACACCATGTTTTTTAATAAGATACGGTAAATAAAAAATGAATAAAAGTTTTTTCTATTTATCTTTAATGAAAAAGTTGTTAAAGACCATCTTGTACATTGAACAACATAAATTGTTACTATAGATACTGTAAAATCATTATTATTCGTGGGGCACGAATTTTCGTTGTTTTCGTGGGTAGGTCAATCCACGAATTTAAGATCCAACGAACTTTTATCCCAACAAATACTTCTTACCCAGTCTCTGTTCTATATATTACAAACATGCGTCGGCTCTTTTCCGGCCGATATTTCGTGAAACGGATGTAAGTACAGACAGATAACCAGGTTAGTGACATATTAAATCCGTTTGCAATATTTAAGAAACTTGAAAGAAAACTTGATTATATGTCCTCAATTTACTGTCACAAATGTTGCATATACATACTTGATCGTTGTAGTCTACTAGGACTTGATTGTGTTAACAAGAATACTTGACATAATCGAGTAAATATGGGAACACAGGCAGTGCAATAATTAGCGCTAATAAAAAATGTCAGTTTGCTCTTATTAATTTTAAAAAGTGTATTTGATATTAATGTCGTAAGTACACAAAACAATAAAAATACGATCGCTAAAACAAAATTATTTTACTTTCTTTTGTCGTTTTTAAATGATCCAGTTTATATGAATTTTAATCTGTATTTGTGCTATTCCGTAAACATCAAAGACGCCACCGACTTTTGCAATATCCACATAATTATACTCGTGTTATTTACCGAGAATAATTTATATGCATGTAAATTTACACAGTCGCTGTGACGTTGCGTGTAGTTACTGTCAAATATGTTAAGACCAATTCAGGGTGTAAACTTTTAAACTCGCTGGTTAAAACGTGCCAGGTGTCGTATAAATTATGCGATGTTTACAACGGCGAATTGCAGGGGCAGTGTGTCCAATGGAGGTGCATATCATGTCACATAAATGTGTTAATTGCAGTCAATTATCGGCAGTTACTGTGCTATATTAGTTATGCCCAGAGGCAAGGATTAAATTTATTGACAACCGCTGTGTGACAAGTAAAGATATGTACATGTTGTAAGTAAAAATGTTCGGCGATTAAGTTTAAGATTACTTTGCATTAGGTTACTGAATTTTCTTTTTAACAAGAAAACGAAAATCCACGAATTTAAGAACCCACGAAAATGCCCGTTTTGATAAAACCACGAAATTTCATGCCCACGAATATAAGTGAATTTGCAGTACCTCATTTCAATATTTACTAAAATGAAACCGAAACTTTGTCAAAAATCATAACATTTCAGAAATAAGCTTACATTTTCACCATTTGCTACCTAAATTTATAAAGAAAAATCTACTTTTACAATTATATCATTTTCTATATAACTTTAAAATAAATAAAAAAACCCATCTATTTTATTATACAAAAGCACTAAATTCCTATATTGACTAATTTTCTACCTAAAATGACCTTCACCTTTCACCTGGTGACCTTGACCTACCTTGTTACCATAGTGATCCATCATATGTGCAGCTTTAAGCACCATTAACCTTGTTTGTTCAATTTCTATTCTAGACTGTGCCACGTCTGCCTGAATGGTTCCCTGTGCCGCTAAGGGCTTCCCAAAAGCTACTCTGTTCATAGTCTAAAAAATAAAACAAGAATATTCTCAAATGTAAGAGTGCATATTTTCCAAACTGTATTTTCTAGATTTCAAAGGAAATTATACATGTATGTGGTAACCACAATTTCTAACATATTCTAAGCATTATTAACTTCACTCACATTTTACAGAAAAATGTATTGTGATTTTTGCAATGGTTCTTAACCTTACAGGTTGATCAAAAATATATTCAAATTGTAATCAAGGCAATCGTTTTGAAGTCTACAAAATATTTTAAGCATACCATATTTACTCATCTATGACTCAGATTCTTTATTAGGCATATTCTAAATTCTGTACCAAAATTGGTATGCTTGCCCTTTGACTGCCATATTTTTTCTAAAGTTTTTTATGATACACTTGGAAGACAAAGCCGAAAATTATGACCCTTTAAAATGTAGAAGAAACAAGCTCTTATAAAAAAGTATATGAGCAAATACGGTATCACAAAAAGCTTGTTAATAAGCAAAAAAAAAGAGTTGAAAAGATAATAAATATCATTCATTCCTCGATGATCTTGACCTCTGTAAGCTTGCAAATTGTAAGAAAGTTCAATAACTCTTACCCTATCAATCATAAGGCTCAGTGACCTTTCTGCATGACCTATAAGCCTCATACAATGATGTATTCTACCAGGTCCTAAACGACCTTGAGCTATCTCAAATCCCCGACCTTCACCTAATAACATATTTGAAGCAGGAACACGTACATTCTCAAACAGCACTTCTGCATGGCCAGCTGAAATAATAAGATATAGCGCTGTTTAAGGTAGACCATGGGTAATGGGCACTATAAAGAACTGTAAATTGACAACATAGGACAGTTATGTGTCTTAAAGGTCACCTGTATGTAAAACTTAAATAAAATTTACAGGCCGACACCTGGTTGAGTACAACAGCTCTCTCTATTCTGCTAAAAGTCGAGCTTAAACTGAAGAAAGGGGCAAGTACTATTTTGAAGGTTAACTATGACATTATCAGTGTCAATATTGCATATACTATAAATAATTCATGTATATATTTCAGCGATATAGAATATAAACCATTACCTGGAGAATCCTCGTAACCAAACACACTTAAAGGTCGTATAATCTTGACCCCTGGTGCATCCATGGGAACAAGGATCATACTCTGTTGTTTATGTGTAGATGCCTTTGTATCAGTTTTACCCATGAATATACATATTTTACATTTTGGGTGCATGGCTCCTACAAACAAACATAATTCTTATAAATATTTACATAGCGGATTCAAATGAAAGTGGCTTTAATACATGAGCTTTAAGCATAACTCACAATTGTGCTTTAAATAAGTTATGTTTAAACTTAATAAGTAGTTTTATATATTTACACTTTCCTCCATAAAAATATCCATTCATATTGTAAGAATTAATTTGCAAAAGACGTTATCTGGAACTCGGCAAATGTGAAATTTTCCCAGCTAATCTGTAGGTACAAACTAACTTTTACCATTATAGCTTCACGGTGCACTACCCGTCCCAATAGATTAGTCAACATGGTCAATTATTTTCGAAGCTGTAACTGTAAAAAGTTTGTTTGTACCTAGAGATTAGCTGGGAAAAAATCAAATATTCTTAATTCCAGAGTAAGTGTATTCTTTAGCTAGCTGCAAACAATATATATTACCTGATGTCCACCATTTTCTACCATTTATCACATAAAAATCTCCATCTCTTTCAATAGATGACTGAATATTGGTGGCATCTGATGAGGCAACCTAAATTTACAGAAAAATAAAATCTGAAATAAATATTGAACATTTACCTTTATGTATTTTTAATTGGTAAATACACAACAATTTACCAACAATTAATCTTGCTAAATATTAACATGTCCTGCTTTTTTTTGTTGTCTAGATATGCAACAAGAGAACCCTAATAGCCCTAAGAATAAACCCACTCACATTAGAAACTTGTCACACATATCATGGTTTAAAAGTTCACCAAAATTTTTTATCCCCTCCCCCTAATTTTTTTTTTTTTTTTTGGTGGGGGATGGGGGTGTATACATGAACTACCACTTCTAATAATAAGATGCTTTCTATGTTGAGCTAAGCGGACAGACACGACAAAGGTTGATCATTAAACCTCACTGGATGACAACCTGATCAATGGAGCAATAAAGTACAACTAAACTTACAGCAGGTTCTGTCATTCCAAAACAGGATCTGATCTCCCCGTTTAACAGTGGGGTAAGCCATTTTTGTTTCTGTTCCTCTGTACCATACTTGACTAATACCTCCATGTTTCCTGTATCTGGTGCTGAACAGTTGAACACCTAGTACAGAAAAGATTTCATATCTATAATCCAATCAATACAATGGGATGAGGTGGCCTAATGGTTAAGGTGTCTACCTGTTAAGCTATGTGTTAAACCTGTGAACAAAAGCCATCTAAAGCAGAGACAAGGATGGTCTTTATAGACAAGTGGTCTTTATTTGGAGGTTAATTTATTCATTTTATCAATGAAAGGTTATCAAGTAGCTTCATTTATTTTATCAACATGCAAATTATCTTTATTCAGAGATGGTATTTATTTTTGTTTGTTTGTTTGTTTCATTTTACGCCTTTTCCAACAGTATTTCAGTCATATAGGCGGGTAGTTTCCTCCCTTGT